GACATACTTGTTTTCGGGTGCTGCTGAAGCCTCATCATCATCCTCCCTGCCCTCGTCCACACCTGTCACAGCTGCCAGCACTCGCTTACCGCGCAGAAGGTATTTGTGCTTGAGTTGGCTTGGTGACGGCAGTTCTGTGAGTGGCTCATTCTCTGGGATCATATAAATATCGTCCCCTAAAATCTGAAACCTAGCACAGTACCTACTCTTTGAAATACGTGCGTACCACTTTCCATCGGAGAAGTAGCTATCGGTTTTGCAACCATAAAAGAAGTGATATCTCGCGTATGAATGACGGGTACCATTGGTAGAAGATTCAAGCACCTGTGAAACCTAGTGCTTAATGGCGCATTTACGGCTGCTTGCAGCTGAAAACACACAGGAATTTTCTGACCTAAAAAACACTTAGAAAAAAAATTCTGAAGTTACGTGTTTACTTCGACGAATGCTCGGGCCATGGCTTCTTGCTGTTGTAAGCTGCAGTGATTCTCGATTGTCAGGATGAGCGGGTACGGGCTGTATCTAAATGCATAACTCTTGATGGCTTGCAGAGCATCTCTGAGAAATATCGACGCCACCAGCGTACCGCGATGAGTGATGCACGGCTCCCCGCTTGCGCCATCCAGAACGTCCACTAAACATCTGAATTAATTAGGTGCATACGCTTCTGTCACAACTCAAAAGAGATGTTCATTTTGTGCGTAGTGACGCTGCCAGGATTTTTACCAAAAGGATTTGGCAAGAGCCATTTTTATCATCTCGCAGCAGCAGCAGCAGAGTGAAAACATTTTTAATTATAACTAACTAGGAAACACAGCAGTGCGCAAACTTCTTTATATAGTTTGGTGACCAGATACTCCTGGCGTGCAGTAAGCAAATAAGCCAACAAACGTCGACTTCTAATTTTATTGTAATCTATGCATCCCATAAAAAGCACCAAAGTTCCGGAAATGTGATTTGCTTCGTTCCATTTCAGAAAATACGATCATGGGTAAGAGTACAGTGGAATTTACAGGCAAAATTCGTGTCGTTTTTCTTTTATTATTCGATGAATTAAAGCGCCAGTTTTAATTTTTTTATATTTTGGTTGTAGAATGATAAGACCAGTTAGAGTTTAGATATGAGGTCATAGGCTAGGACAAAACAGAGCTTGAAAACTAACTTAAATCCTTTTCTGTCTAGCAAATATTGGTTAGTGGTTATTTCCTTAATAGTTCAACATAAGTTTCGCTGCTTTTAAGCTAAAATTATTAGGTAGGCATGCAGATTTGAGTTCATACATACAAATATGACTGACATGACAAAGTAAGAAGTGGTGATGCTGCTGTCAAATCTGCCAGAGGGACAACCAGTCCCTCTACGATTCGTTCATCCGTTCCGGTGTTTAATTGATACAAGCAAGCGCCCAAGAATCGAATCCACCATTAGCATGCTTTTAAACAACTTTCAGACGGAAGACTGTCAACAACCTTGCC